ACTCGGAGGCCAATCTCATGTATGTCTTCTGCACTCCTGAATGACCCCCAATAGTGCTCCTATGGAACTCCTCGAGCAGGTGTGGAATATGAACTGATGTCCTAGGAATCACAAATCTCCCCTAGTACAAGCGCCTTTCACCTTTTAAAGAATACCCTAGGTGGCTACTCCCTCCTCCAATAAATCAGTACACCTCCTACCATAATCCCCATCTTTTCTTTCTTAATCAGCACCCTGAGATTCATGCCCCCCATAACCAGGCCTCTCTCTATACCTTCCATTTCTCTCCTCCATGATTTTCACATCGTTTTCTCTCCTACAAATTTTAGAATTCGTATTTCTCCCTGCTGGACCTCTTGCCTCCAATGCAGTCGTTTGATTTTGGTTTTCCAATATCTTTTTTACCATCTCATGAAGATCAAAAACAGTGTCTTCCATGGACTATATTCGATCCCCCACCGTTTCTTTCATTAGGCTCGTCTTCCCTTCAAAGCGTTCTTTCAATACATCTACTTTCTTGGCCGCCATCAACACCCGGATTTTTGTAGAACTCAAAAATATGAATCTTGACCCCAAAAATAGCAAACCAGCGCTTCTTCGGATAAAAATCAGCCACTAAATCTCACAAAAACAGCCCAAAAATAGTTCTAAAAACTGCTCTGATACCAATTTGATAGGAAAAAATAGAAAAAATATGAATTGATCGCTGAAATCAGAATTCCAGCGGTTTGATCGAGCAGAATTTAGGGTTTTATAGATGACTCACTCTTAATTGCTAGAAAATGAAAGAAAACAACAAGATACAAATGATCATCTATTTGAGATGAGGATCAATCTCCCCAAAACTCTCTAGACGCTGCTAGAGCCCAAGAACACCAAAGCACTCAGAAACTTAACTACCAATAAGATACCCTAACCCTAATACAAACACCTAATTAAAGCAAACATAAAAATAACCAAAAAAAATTAAACAACCTCCCTCTCTCTTCCCTAGGCCATGGACCCCACCCCTAAGGGGGCGGGAATTAAACCCTGCGGCCCAGTAAGTGAAAGCCGGCCCAAGGGCTGGGCCGGCTGGACAAGTCTAGGCATATCAGTTATATAAATTATGATATTGTTGGAAATTTTGATTATATGAGGAGCACAATAAGTTATATCTTAACTTCATGAAACGCAATGGTAAGTTAGGTTTCCAAGTTATAAAAGATAGTTGCACTCTCAACTACAAAAGCTGAGAATATTGCTATCACTAAGGCTAGCAAGAATATGATATGGTTGCAAAATTTTATGGCAAAACTTGGCAATGGACAAAGGAATGAGAAGTTGCATAATAACAACATGAGTGCTATTCATCCAGCCAAGAATACAACATTCCATGCCAAGGCAAAAAGCACATCCAACTTTGGTATAATTTCATATCACTTCTGGAAGATGATCAGTTATCTTTAGAGAAGATACATATGCCTAAATACTACAAACATACTGACAAAGACGACAATCTTTGATAAATTGAAGCTATGTGAATCTTCGATTGGTCTTCATGAAAGCTAAAGGCAAGGGTGAATCACACTATAGGTATTATGATAAGTGCTATAGATCGGGAGAATGATTGATTGCAATCAATTTTCAAGTGAGAGATTGATAGTTCTATGTGGAATATGACTGTGTCGATCAATCAGGTTGCACTGTTAACTCAAAACTCAATTGCATCGTTCAAGCTCATCAAGGATTGTACGGGGACCTCCCCTTGCTTAGGTTCGAGGGCCTTGCCTTCGAAAAATTTTTTTCCTATACCACCACACAGCACTGCATCTTTGTATACTCAAGCACTATGGCACTACAATCTCTGGATAGAACTAGATGGAAAAGCGCTGCGGCGCTGTAGGCTACAGTGTCATGGCATTGCATGTTGGCTCAAAGATAGATAGTGGAGCATCGTCGCACTCCAAACCCCAATGCTGCGAGTTAGATAGGGCAATTTTTCTAGTTTTTGTGTTTAACCTGAAGGGTTGCATCCCTTTGGGTGGTTTTATTTGTCTCTTTGTAAATTCTATAGGAGAACGATGCAAAACTGAAGAGAAATAAGAAGAGAGTGAATGCAAAGAGATTTGAACAATTTCTACCAAATTTTCATAATAAATTTCTTGGTGTACTGTGGCTCCATGATTTTTTTACTATTTCATACATTTTTCACGTTAAATCCTGATGTTTTTTTCTTTTTTGTGCTTTCTTTTTCTTGTTTGTGTTCATTGCGTGATTTTACTTCCCCAACATTATCATGGTTTCTATCTCTGTCTTGCGAGCACCAATGTGCTCGGCACCTATTGCTCCTATAAATTGCGCAGCTTCAAGAAACCAGCTTCCATAGGGGAGTCAGGCTTGTCAATGACAGTTAAATGAAATACTTCCCCTCTTGCTCAAGGGATAGTCATTGATGAAAAGTACGCCAAGAGGAGAACTGAGGAGGTGGCGATAAAGAAGGCCATGCTCGACAGACAAAGAAAGGAGGTTTTGGAGCACCCTCTAAGAGTATTCATGACTTTATTCCATCACAAGGAGGGGAGGTACATGTTCTCATGGAGGGACAACTTCTCCACCTCAGAAGTTGAGTTTCACCTCGAACCTAACAACAAAAACATCATCATCAAGCCTTTATCCTACTACGTGGATTGGAAACATTAATCGTTTTCTTCATTGTGTCCTGTTAGGAATCAAATTTTCATTCAATTCTAATAAAAAAATGTCATTTATAATACTTTATAACCAAGTTTTTAGGTCTACCTCTACCTTTCTTAATATAAGTCAAATATAATATATTTACTCTCCTAACCGGGTCATCGAAAAGTCAACATTTTATGTGATCAAATCATCTAAAGCGACTTTATCTAATCTTATCTACCATTGGAGCTACTCCAACCATTTCTCGTATATACTAATTTCGCCTTCTATATCTAAGAGTAAAACCACCCATCCACCTAAGCATCCTCATCTCTACAACACTTAATTTTATGCTTCTCTTTTAATGACCAACATTGTGCGCCATAAATCATTGCAGGTTTCATCATCTTATAAATTTTTTCCTTAATTTTGAGCACATTTTAATCATGTAATAGGCCTGATGCATTCCTCCGCTTTAACCACCAACTTGAATTCTACTAATAATATCCTCATCTATTTCACCATCAATTTGAACAATAGACTCAAGATATCTAAAACGTGTACTCTTTTTAATAACTTGATTGCCCAAAATCGCAATCCCTCCAACAGATCTATTACTACTAAAATTATACTTCATGTATTTGATTTTAGATCTACTCAAATGAAAGCCTTTAGACTTTAAAATTGACCTCCATAATTCATGTTTTCCTTCAACTCCCTCTCTAGTCTTATCAACAAAACCCCAAACCTACACATAGTTTAAAATTGCATGGTCAGAGGAGCACATTAGTGTAATTAAAAAAAGGCAATGAGGTATACGCCTCCTGTTTTCCTAGTAAGGCATGCAACTCAAAAGGAATGGGGGTGAGTGTGCTTAAGATGATTGAGATTAAAGATGGGGAAGAAATTTGAAAGATGCAAACACAATTGAGGATGAGGGAGGAGAGAAAGCAATTAATCACAATAATGAATCTAATAAAGACATTCTTAAATTATGATCTCAAACAATTTGCTTATATTAAATTGGGAACAAGAGTAACTTTTTTATTAGTGTTGTGTATAGCCTTGTAGGACTTTTAATGGATTTAGTTTAACTTTATATTAACTTATTTTGATTCTAATTTTGATGTTATCATGTTATTTATTGCTCTATATTTTTCATTAATTCCATAGTTTAATTCTGAGGCTTATGCGCAAAATGCTTCAAATTTTAAGCTTCGCCTCACAAAAACAAAACACATCAATACCCGATTAAACAATTTCAAAACTTGACTCTGCCTAGCCAAAAATTGAAACAACTTATGTCACCCATGATCTTGGACTAACAATCTTTTCCACAACAACTTATAAAGAACTTAGCATTGCCCCTCAAGCCACATACACCTTGTTGCCATGATAATATATAACAAGGAGGCTTACACACATAACACTCAAAACTTACACATTTACATATTTAAAATTTAAAATTCACCATTTATGAAATATAACACTTAGTTAACTTACCTTATGGGGCCTCGATGACAAAGAGAAACACGCGATGACACATCATAATCTCACATACAACACAAAGAAGGGCTTGCGACAATTCCCATGGCTACTGGTGAACTTGTGAAGGGAAACAAGGAAGGTGTAACACTCTCAGATGTTTCCTAGTTCTCCATTATTTTTTTCCATCTCCTATTTCATTCCCCTCAGCCCTTTCTTGCCGGCAATGGAAGGCCACCACCATCCATAGGTTTCTAGCAACAAGACCAAGGGCATGTGAAAGATAAAAGAATGATGTGATTTTAACAGAGTCATTGAGAAGGTATTATTATTCCTATTTGAAGTTTTGGTGCATGTGAGGAAATAGGAAGTTTAAATGTTAAATATGTAAGTTGCATAGTTTTGAGTGCTATGAATATAAATTTACCTTTTTCAAATTAATATAACTTAAGCTATTTAAATAATAAAACATAATATAACTATAAGACTTCCAAAAATTGATCCATCATCTAAGTTCCAATCACTTAAAACTTGGAATCTATAAAATCATTAGGTTCACGTAGAAATCCCTAAATAAATCCTGAGTTCACTTGAAAGTATAAATACTAGAGATGCCATTTCTAAATCAAGTCAATCAACAGAACATTATCAATTTCAAAAATCATTTCTGTCTCAAACTCCAATCTGAAAATAAATATTTAAATAAACGCCAATATTATATCAGGTATATCATCTATAGTTTACCCCGTCGATTTTTTCAAAATAGCTGGACATGATCAAAGAAATCTACAACATCAGTGCAAGGTTTTAACTAACCCAATTTGTCGGACAAAGAAGAAGATGGAGAAGAAGATGACCTGCAATCTCCACGGCCCAAAAAGCTCCTGGAAATATCCCGGTGTACTATTCCTGAACGATGAAGGACTTCTCGTTGCAAACTTGAAAAGGAATGGTAGCAGTATGGAGAAAAAAAAGAACCAATGAGAGGAAAGAGTATCGATACTTCGCGAAGATTCTCCAGCAGCCGTCTACGAGGTTGTCTACCTCGTCCCGCTCTGCTTCCTCAATCTCTTCCTCACGCCGTTCCTCACCTGCTTCTATAGCCGGCTTTTTTCTCTTTTCGTCTGGCTCACGATCTTGTATTTACATTTTACTGCTTCGCGGAGCCGCGGCACGCGCACTAGGTGTAAAACGGGCCGGGTCGAACAGGTAGACATGTATTCGGGCCGAACCCTCAAAAGTTTTAGAAATTATTTTGTGCAGACAACGGACAACCTGTCGGGTTTTAATGTTTTATATTTGTACAGTAAAAACGTAATATGAATAATAAAAAGACATTTTACTGTATTTTTATTATTCACAAAGATTGGTTCTTTCCCTCCAGTATCCATACAGAATAATTCATCCAAAAGTTTAGATCAATAAAGCAACTAGCAGCTGCAGTGGCCGGCTTTAGGTAGTGGGTTGTAGTGGTTGTGATGGGTGGCGAATTTTTATTGCGTCCTCCCACCTGACGTAGAGATACGTCCTCCCAAAGCTAAAATCGCGCTAAAAAACGAAAAATACCGAGCAAATACCGAGCAATTCAACCCGACTCGAACCTGACCCACTTTTACAAACGGGTCGATTTTCCGAACCCAACCCGCTTCAACCCGAACCCGACCCGTTTCGGGTATATTTCATTAAATTTTTTTTTATTTAAATCTAAATCAAATTAAGGTAAGATTTACTTCAATTAATTAAAAATAAATCAAGATTAATTTAATTTGGACAACAATGTTTATAATTTTTTGAAATATCATTTACTTATTTGATAAAAATACTCCTAAATTAATTAAAATCGGGTCAAACCGGGTTGATTTCGGATTTCCGGGTCAACCCGAATCCGACCCGGTTTTACAAACGGGTCGAAATCCCTAACCCGAACACGACCCGGTTCGGGTTCGGGTTGACCTGAACCCGAAATTTTCGGCTCGGGTTCGGGTCGGGTTTTCGGGTCGGGTCAAATATTGACACCTCTAGTTTTAATGTTTTATATTTGTACAGTAAAAACGTAATATGAATAATAAAAACACAATGTATTTGAAATTCACTCGATAGAGAGAGAAACAACCGCTAGAGAGAGAATGTCACGACCCGACCCGATCCGGGACGGATCCCGCTCGCACCGGGCCGCGACAAAACCTTTTATCCAGGATCTGGCTTTGGAATTTGGTTCTGAACTGAATCTTCCAAATAATTAACTCAAAACAACACACAAACACAGAACAACAGAGCTACTATAAGTCACCAAATGCAGCGGAACAAAACATCTATATTTTTCTTTCTTTTCCTCAAAACAATCATCTACAAATACAGTACATGGCTTTTGAACAGAAAGAAAGACAGAACAGAAAAGCCATGACTGTACAAAAATCAAAAGGTACAAACAAATACCTATACTGATCAGACTCTGAATCTATTCCTGGACTTCCTTCCCTTTCCCAGAACCTGAAAATCACTAGAAAACAAGAGTGAGCTCAACAGCTCAGCAAACAACAGACCTCCAATCAAAATTCTCAGAATCCAAAACCAAACTCATCAGATAGAAATCAGATCAGAAATCGGAACAGAATCGTACAGATATCAAATCGGACATATCAGAACGAAACAGAACAAATCAGAACAGATACGGACAGATATCATATCAGAATCAGAGTCGTACGGATTAATTCACATCAGAATACAAATCAGAACATAACATATCAGACTTATCGAATCAGAAGTAAACTGAACGGAACAGATATCAAATCCAACATAATTGTACGGAAACAGAAATCAGAAACAGAACAGATCAGACATAAATATCAAATATTTAATTCATAGCTAAATGCCCTGACACTGACGGAATCTCTACGGATTCCGGCCCCTTATGCCTCCCTTCCCAGACACTGACTGAATCTCATAGGATCCAGGCCCCTTATAGCTCCCTTTTTATAGCACATACAGATAGCATTTCAATTCAGAAGAAATCCGGGCAA